TCCTCTCATTCTTGATCATCCACGGACAGCTCTCATCGACTGTGTGGTATCAGACATCAAAACAGTCCTATCAGAACCTTTAGCACTGTGCATGGAAGTTCTCGGCCATACTCTTTTACAAGCAGGAGGGTAGTTTTGTCATTTACTGTACCCCCTTGCGTGGCTATCAGAACCCCGCACAATGTAGGGTTCTGATATGTTTGTTACTTAGGAATGTATACATGGTCCTATGGTGGGAGCAATTATACGTATAGTTCCACAGACCAAATTTATGATTATGCTTTCTACACACAAAAATAGCCTAGCTAATGTAGGAAGAACACAACGAAAAGAGGAGTTCTAATTTTGCAAAACATGATAAAGACGCTTTTTAATATGAATTGAATGAAAATACAAATTCAACATATACCGTGACTGAATTTTAACTAATTCCCGGAAATCACAAAAGAATCACACTAGTATAGCACTAATTGCTCAAATTTGTTTCATATAAATTGTAAGTCAAAAAGCCAACTAATTTAAGGCTTCGGGGAAAAAGTAAACGAATATTCATTTAGTTTCTTTTTGATTCGACACATGTTCAACCTATCAATTGCGATATGTACACATATTGTTTATATAAATTATGATGGTTCAGATGTGTTTTAGTTAGTGAGATACCAACTTAGTGATTGAGCGTTACACTAATTAAGCTTAATGTTATTTATAACTATGGGTTATCTTAATCAACAACTGAATATGTGTCAACTCACCAACGTATCAGTTATATACACTCGACGATTCCATGATCCCTGAATTGGAAATTTTCTAGGAGCTTGTTTTATCCAAACAGGAGATGAGATTGACTGATATAAAGCAAAGATACTCCTGCTATCATCTCGTAGAATACCAAGTTCAGGCCCTGCAGAACCCAACAAGAACTGAAGGGAACATCAGCTGAACCAAAAGAAACTTTAAACAACTACTAAATGTGTGTAAAATATTCCTTAATTCTTAATAATTATGAGATTTCAACTTTTACTCAGAGAGACCGTACAACTTGGGGGAGCAGAGGCTGAGGAGGCCTGCTCTCTTCTCTCTGCCCAAAGTGCTAAAAAAAAAAAGGCAAAACCATCAAATCTCTGCCCGTCTCTCTCTCTAGAGACCTGCGACTATACAGTTAAAGAAAGAAGCAAGTCTATGTTATTAAATGGTCGGTGGTAAAAATACAAATTTACAGGAAAAGGTAACACTGTAAAAATTGATTTGTGTTTGTGTTTTTGTCTCCAACGGCATCTGCTTCTTGCTGATGACGTTTCAAGTTAATGTTGTGTGGGCCCGACATTTACGATGGCCATGTTTGTGAACAAAGATCAACTAACTGTAACTGTACTCGGTGTTAAATTTTAGGGTGTGTTTGGTAACTTCACACTAAACCGGTTAAAAATTTTAATCGGATTAGAATAGAAATAGGTTGGTGGTGGTCCAGATATATATTAGTTAAGGGGCTCCTTTTGAAATAAAAAAAAATAGTCTAGTATTATATAAGTTTTTACCAAACACATTTTAAATCATTAAACAACTTAACTTTACTAGCCCAGTTAATAGGCAAGTTGCTAAACAAGCCTTAAATGACTTGGTTATCTTTGAATGATTATCTCATTTTTTTCCCCTCCCTATGTATTTCTTAGTAGGATAATCTCATTCAACCTTATTCTTCTTCACCATTAAAGAAATGCTTTGCTTTGCTGAAATGTATTAAGTCTTTTATTATACTTAACCACAAATAATCCTATTGCTAGAGGTGTAGACAAGAATCTATAATACAAAAGATTATCGGTAGCGCCCAATACAACAGAAAGTTTAGTATACTATTTTGATTGTACAGCGTACAATTAAAACATACTGTTGTTTCTGGCAAAGTTTTGTGTGGTTTTACCAAGAAATACGAATACATAAATAACCGAGCGGGTATACTGCGCGGGTGTGCGTGAAAGAACAGCATGCACTGTTTCATGATGACGTGTCATGTTCGCCCTTGATGTGGGCCCTACAACCCAGCAAATGGGGGATTGCCACGTCGGAGGACAACAGGGGATGGTTGAGGGGAGGAGGCCACGGCAAACAGGGAGACAAAGGAACAGGGACACGGATGCCCTTTTTGCTGTACCCCTGCCTCCGTTTTGTGCTCTCCTTTCTCTTTTTAAGTGTTTTACAAAATTTTTGTTATTTGTGATTTCTAATTTTCTATTTTTAAATTTATATTTGGACCAGATCTGCTACTTTTTTGGGCAGGAGATGCTAAATAAAGTATCTAGGTAAGCGGTGTCATGGTTAATTAGTAATGATTATTTAATGAATGTGCAGAGATATAAATATATAATTAATGATGTGATTAATATGTCTCACTGTTTAACATTTTACTCTTAAGGTAAAATAATGGAACAAGATCAAATAGGGAAAGTCTGTCCTGAGCTTTGCTGGTAAGCATGCTGGACTGGGGTGATTTAGAGAATTTTCTTACATATATAAATTCTTACTCCTATTCATTTTATGTGTACAGATCACCATTGTATGATAAAATAAGGAGATCTACTTACCTAAACTTTTACATTCAAAATTTGGATTGCTTTTCTTTACTACACTTCAGAAATCTATGGTAGCATTTGGATACCATGATGTTTTTAGTGTTTCCATGTTGTTTTTACCAAAAACAAAACACTATATATTTAAAAACTATGGTGTTTTTGTTAGGGTACAATATCAAAAACTAAAAACATAATACTTAGTTCAAAACACCGAAAATGTGTTTTAAGTTTTGTGTTTTGAGATTCAAGGGTGTTAATATAATGTCTAATATAGTGTATTAATAATAATATATTCATTGCATAATATTATATTATATTATTTAATATATTACATCATAACATTAGTTTTCAAATATATAAATACTATATTCAATACAATTAATTAATTATTATTATAATATTATAAGTAATATATTACAATAATTATATTTTAAATCTTATTATATATTATATTAATAGTAAATAATATTAAATTAAATATAAATATAAAAGTGGCATAAAAATATATTATATTAGTTACATAACATTATATAATGTAATATAATATAATTTAAATATTAATAGTAAATATTAACAAATTAAATATATTAATAAAAGTATAATAATATAATAATAATATATTATGTTTGTTACATAAAATAATATAATATAATATTAAATTATATTATATTATTTAACATAGTACATTATTATATTTGTTTCCTAGTATATCAATACTATGTCTAACACCATTAATTAATAATTCATATAATAATATAATTAGTATAATATAATAATTATAGGTTAAATATTATTATATATATTTCATATTAAAATAATAGTAAATAATAATAAAAGAAAATCTATTGATAAAATAATAGATAACAATTTATTATTAATAAATAATCCTATAGTAATGATATAATATTGAATTATATAACAAAAATTATTCTATTATCTTATTTAATTAATAAAACATATCATTATGTATGAATAATATATTATATGATATATTTAAAAAATTTAACATGTTATAAAATAATGTTATCCAATAATAAAATAATAACTCATCTAAGAATAAAAGATTAAATATTACATTATATATATATTCAATATATTCACAATATATTATATAATATATAATAATATATTACATTAAAAAATAATAACAAAATGATTATATATTATAAGTAATACATATACTATAAAAAATGTTAATATAATAATAATAATAACAATATCATAATATAATAATATTATATTATATTATATTATAAAAAGATAATGTTAATACATTATTATTAATAAAAGGTAACATATTGAAAAAATAAAATATTTATATTAAAAATTATTAAATATATTAATATTTGAAAAATAATACTTAAGTATTATAATATAATATATATTACAAATATGTACAGTACATAGCATTGTACTATATTTGTTATATATAATATTATAACTTGTTAATTATATGTATAGTATTATAATATATTAATTGAAATAGATTATGTTATTATTAGTATTTAATATATTAAGAGTATGTTTAATATTAATGTTATCAAACTATTGTTGACCAAAAATACTTACTAAAGTGTTTTGAAAATACTTTTGGAGGAAAACACCACACAAAAAATCACCATAGTATCCAAACATGCTATATATATATATTGTTCATAAACATTGTTGCCTTTGCATTAAAATTCTGAAGTTATGAGGATGGAACACTTTACTTCAACTAATATTTATCACACCTGTTATTTTGTTTAAAAATTAAGATAATCTTTTATAATTTTAGCGAAAAACTATATGCATAACATATGGAAACTTTTTTTTTTAAATATAGTTTGACAAGGCCTGTGATTGATTAAAGTTACATCTTGAATTTTTTCTCACGCCAAAT